TCTTCTCCTGAACTGGACAGGTTGGAATATTCCGTATGAATTCAACGAATCTGATCTTAGAATCAGCTTGAGGCAAATTCAGATGTTTCTGAACGAATATGAAGAAACTCCATTCGAAGCTCTAACTTATCTTACAGGTACAGGGCCTACCCTGTGACTTGGTTTGCACATGACGGTTAAGACCCGATCTGTTGTGCCCATGGTTTATTAAACAAGCTACAGTGGATGCATTCGCATGAATGTTAAGCCATCGGCTAAGGTTGATTAAAAACAAGGGCAGGTACTTGCTACTATGCCAAATCAAAATCAAATTAATTCACATGAAGTTGAGCCCAGTGGGTGAGTCCTGTCCAAACCATTAGGACTTTCACGTAATGCAAAACTATGGTTTAAAGTTACAAGGATGAGAATAGCTTTTTCTCTCCCTAGTTCAGTGGTGAAAAATAAAATAGGTACCCCAGTCATTTTAAACCGTTTGCAAGTTAGTGTCTTGTCCAGATCTGCTGGGGTAGATTCTTACCCAGGTTAGTAAAAAAAGCCCATGGTTTAGCATTGTTAAGTGCCAGGCCACTAATGTTCGTTTAACCCATAACGAGTAAAACAAATTGTGGTTTATGATGTACAGGTAGTCCTGGACTTAACAACCATTTGTTTAGTGGTGGTTTGAACTTGCAATGAGTCCTGGGGTCATGTGATCACCATTTTGCAACTTCCCCAGCCAGCTTCTGACAAGCAATGTCAGTGAGGGAAGCTGGCTTCGCTTAAGGACTGCGTGATTCGCTTAACCACCACTCCTCAGCCACCTTGCTTATCAGTGGGAATTCTGGTCCCAGTTATGTTGTAAGTCAAGGACATGACACCAGCTGTAGAAATGCATGTCAAGAGAGACCTCCCGCCTATTTTGTATTCTTCCATTCCCGGTGCCTTCCAGAGGACAACCGTGTGTCCCTTAGGTGTAAATCTTCTCATCTTTTGCTCTCCTGATGTAACTTTTCTGTTTCCAGGGGAATGTAATTATGGAGGAAGAGTGACAGATGACAAGGACAGACGTCTCCTCCTGTCGCTTCTCTCCATCGTCTATTGCCAAGAAATTGAAACGCAGGAATGCTATAAACTTTCTCCAGGAGGGGAATATTATATACCACCCTTCGGGACATACCAGGTAAGAAAAAGATGAGGTTGAATGGTATGAAGATCATCACCTACATCAATTAGGGACCGTGATTTTAAAAAAGTACTGCAGGATGTTGTTAATTAGGGTGTTGATGGCTAGCTATTAACTCATTAATTGTTGATTCCTTATGCTGCCTGGCCCTCAGCTGTTAAACACCCGATAGGCAGACGGTAAATCAATACTCCTATTGTTTGACAAGAGCTCATATCTCAGGCTTCAATCTTTTCTCTGGCTGTTTTTGTCCCTGCTTGGCCAACAATCTTAGTAGCTGCAAAATTGAATGTGTGTCCTTGTTCATTGTAACGTGAGGCTACCAATGAGTTCAGGTCCCCCTCGTCTTAATTGTTCATTCACATTCTCCCAACCAAACTTTGTAGTGCGTGATTTGTCCTCGCGTGGAAACCTCCGGGTGGTGGATGATGCCCATTTACAGATCTTGGTAGTTGCATTCTATGGCTTCTGAAATGTTTTTAATATGTGGCGGGGTGTGTGTGTGCCATCTATTATATAAAAATATCTTCTGACAATCTACCAAACCTGCTCTTAATGCCCTTGACAAAATATATGGATGTCCGAATGCTCAGCTTTGGATCTGCCTTGTTTTGTCGTAGTCTTACATCGATTATTTAAGAACGCTGCCCATTTCAACGCATCCTGAAATATTTGGCCTTCACGAGAACGCCGACATTACGAAGGATAACCAGGAGACCAACCTGCTTTTCAACGGGGTCTTGTTGACCCTCCCTCGAGAGGCTGGAGGAGGAGGGAAATCACCCCAGGTACGAATATTGTAAAACAGACACAGCTGTAAATTAGCTCTGGCCTTAACTTTCCAGCACAGGCAGTCTGAATGAGTATGTAGAGAAAAATAGAGGCAGGAGTGGAAGTTTCCCACCTGGAGGTCTCCCCAGAAAAGCAATCTAGAGGGTTAATTAACACTCCAAAAATTGACATAAACTTTTGCCACAAAACTCTGAAAAATAACCGATGCGAAGATACGTAAAATAGAAATGAAAACAGTCAAAGCCTTCGCTATTTTCCATCGATTTCACTTCTCCATGATTCCGTTTCCTCGTTTTAGGAAACGGTTGAAGAATTGGCTCAAGATGTTCTCTCCAAGCTACCCAATGATTTTGATCTCGAACACGTGATGAAATTGTACCCAGTGCTGTATGAGGAATCCATGAACACGGTTCTCAGGCAGGAGCTGATTAGGTTTAACAGGTAAAATTCTGGATTGTGTAACTTCATAAGCTGGAGGGTGTCAGGAGGTGGTCTTAAGACTTTTCAGATGACCAGCATATATGCATGTGTAATTGTGGTCTGGGGAATTCTGGGAACTGAAGCCCGTACGTCTTCAAGCTCCACACATCATCAAGCTGAAGACCTACGCTCCTTTCCTCCTTTCCCTGCCTTTTCATTACAACTTCTTTGCCTTTCCAGGCGAGCGAGCAGGCAAAATAACAAGAACCTCAACTAGTTCCGGCTTTCTTCTCTCCCTATTCCCAACCTACTTTAAGATACGGAGTGGTGGTCTCATTTGGGGATATTTTGTTTCTGTCAGGCTTACGGAGGTCGTCCGGAGCAGTCTGATCAGCCTAGGCAAAGCCATCAAAGGCCTGGTGTTGATGTCTTCGGAACTGGAGGATGTTTTCAACAGCATGATCGTGGGCAAAGTGCCAGCCATGTGGGCAGCCAAATCCTACCCATCACTCAAACCCCTGGGGAGTTACGTGACTGACTTGGTGACACGGTTGACCTTTTTTCAGGTACCCATAAAGTCTCAGTGTCATGGTTCCGACAGATGAAACTCTTCAAAGAACTTCGAGGCATTGTTTGCCTTAAAGAATCTTCATTTGAGAAGCATAGCGTCGGCACGAACACAGTCAAAGCCAAAAACTGGATTCCCCTCCCCTGAGCACATAGTATCAAAGCACAATTCCCTCCTCCAGTTAACAGTCATAAATCACATTCTCCAATTAGTTTGAAATGCAGGCTTTCCCTCCAGTTCTCCAGCCCGCCAATTCTTATCATCTCTTATTTCAATAACCTTGGTTCACACACTAGGTCCAGTATTGTTATGTCTAGCTAAACTCCCATGCACACCCCTGCCCCCAGCATCATCCAACTCTAGCAGAATCATGCAAGAGCTGATTTGATGATCATATCAATTTCTCAATTATGCTAGGCTGCTTTAATATTCACCGTGGCAGGGAAAACTCCATTGTGTCCTAAATGAGCTTGCTTACAACTGGGAGTGAAGATGCTAAAGAAGGTTGCTAAATCTTGAGCACAGACTCTCTAAGAGGCTGATAATTTCTCCCCCTGATTTCTGAACCACGATCAATATATCTCCTACTAATTAAATGATGAAAAGGCTCCATTGCATTCCTTGCTAGAGTGATTATGGCACTTTATGCCTTTGGTTCATTTAGAAAACTGACCCTAATTGATTGATTTTAGATGCTTTGTTATTTTGGGAAGAGCCAGAACAAGCACATGTCACTAATAATTAATTAACCGTAAGTATATTGAATTTATCCTGGCTAAACCATTCTGGGTTTTCTGTCTGTTGGGTTCCTTTCATCTACCGAACTCCATTCTTAGGCAGCTGTAATATATATAGCTAAATATCATTAAATATTTTGAAATAATATGCAACAGTACAATCCCTGGTGTTTTTCATCCTCTTGGCTTTTTTTTACATATTGCAATTTGGAAAATGCAGCAAAATTTTCCACCAAGCTAGTCGTGGCTCCCTGTTGTTGTACTTAATCCTGACAATCTGGCATTTCAGACAAAGGGTTAGAAAATTCAGCCATCCTGGGATTCTTGGTAGTTGTTGTTTTGATGCTCCATTTCATAGAAGTATTTGTTAATTCCCATTCACCTCAGGAATGGATCAAACACGGACCACCAAATGTGTTTTGGATCTCTGGTTTCTATTTTACTCAGTCGTTTCTGACGGGCGTCTCTCAGAATTATGCCAGAAAGTATACAATCCCAATAGATCACATTGGATTTGAATTTGAGGTAAAGTATATACGCAACTAATTTAATTGTGCTTATAAAGAGCATTGTTGTTTGGACAAAACGAAAATGTGGAAATCCAGAATTAATGAGAAGTAGAGGTTGGTTCCAGAGAAGTAGAGAGGAAGAATCTGCAGACTAAATGTTGGTGGCAACAAGATGGTGGCTTTTGTGGCGAGGTACACGATTGTCTTATGCTTTGGCTGGTTTTGTAGTTGGAGATGGAAAATAAAAATCAAAATCAAAAGGGACGGATTTCCATTCCTTTTGATTTTTTATTTTTTTTTGCAACATCTCAAACTAAAAAACCAGCCAAAGCGCTTGGTGCAGCCTAGGAACCCCAGCGCCCGCTTCCTCCTAAACCAGGAATGTTATTTCTTCCTCCTCATTCAGTCCGCTCATCCTTTTCCCGCTGTAGGTGATGAGGAAGGAGCACACCATGAAGCAGATGCCTGAAGACGGCGCCTACGTCAAAGGGCTCTTCCTGGAAGGAGCCCGATGGGATAGAGTAACCATGCAGATCGGTGAATCCCTCCCCAAAATCCTTTACGACGCCCTGCCCATCATTTGGCTGAAACCCGGGGAGAGCGCCAAGTTTTTGCACGAGCGGATCTACTTGTGTCCCGTCTACAAAACCAGCGCCAGGAGAGGCGTCTTGTCCACCACGGGACACTCCACCAACTATGTCCTCTCCATTGAGCTTCCTTCTGACCTTCCCCAGAAGCACTGGATCAACCGGGGGGTGGCAGCCCTTTGCCAGTTAGATGACTGACCCGTCTGTGCACAAAATGAATCTATGTATTGCTGCACCTTCCAATTAAAAGACGTAGACTTTGACCTTGGCCCTCGTTGACATGAAAGCAGCAGTCTTCAAGACCTCTTGTCCTTCCTAGTTTGCCCTTTGGCTGTGTAACTACCGAGTTGGGGATTGAGAAGCCAAGCTTTGCAAGAACTTAACTCTGGGCAGAGCTCCAGATCTAAGGGGCAAAAGGTGGATCAAATGCCTGCCAGGAACTGCCATTAAGTAAATAGTCTGGGGTCATTAAGCGAATCTATTGGGGTTTTTTTGCTTCTGGAAACCAGAAACTGTAAAAAAAAAAAAACAACACTTAAAAACACACTAATGGTCTGCAGAATGCTGCAAACAGCCACGAGTGTGAGAAATTTTCCAAAAGCCCAATATGCAATCACATGACCACAGGGACTGTGTGTGTGTTTGTGTGTGTTTGCTGTCAGAATTCCAGAACTGGGTCATAAGTACCTTTTTTTGGGGGGGTGAGATGTAACTTTGAACGGCAGTTAAGAGTTCAGTGATTAAGTGAGGACTATCAGGAGACTCTAGGACAGGGGTCTTCAAACTTGGCCCTTTGATGACTTGTGGACTTCCACTCCCAGAATTCCTCAGCCAGGCACGCTCAATAGAGAATTCCTACACTAGTTGAACTTCTTCCTGCAAGTTTACTAGCCCATTCCATAGTCAAGGTTTTGGGGGAGTTTCAAGGGGCTACATAAAAAAAATTATTTTATTATTCATAAGATTAACACATAAAACGTTTATTAATGAGATGATTTTGCCAAGGACGTGATCAGGATTTGAACTCAGAGCCACATAAAGCAGGAGCCCCCTTGGGGGACGATATAATAAAATGTTGATGAATAAAAGAATAATAAAACTCCTTTGCTGGAGCCTAGTCTTCTGCATGGTTTAGTAGCCAGTTCAATGCACCGGGCAAACCCCCAAACACGTGTGAATCAGTCACAAAGCGAGGAGGCTCGTGTGAATCCGACCTCGGGTTTTAAGTGCATGAAAAAGCAAAGAAAAAGAAACGAAAAATAAAGGCAGGTGCACCACTTTTCTTTGGCCACGAGATGGCAGCATTGCTCCATGGTTGGGAAAGGAAGGCAGAAAACACGCGAAGCCTTTAAAAAGAGAATAAAAGAAAAGATTTAACCGATTAAAAGAATATTACGCACTTGTGCAAAATGATCTTCTATTACAGGGGTCTTCAAACTTGGCCCTTTTATGACGTGGACTTCAACTCCCAGAATTCCTCAGCCAGGAACGCTGGCTGAGGGATTCTGGGAGTTGAAGTCCACAAGCCAAGTTTGAAGACCCCTGTTCTATTGGTTGCAACCCACAAATGCCTGGATGCGATTGCATTGAATTCAGTGGGAGATTCCATTGAGAATCAAAACAGGCATGCGCAGATAGAAGAGGACAAAGGGGAGGAGCCAGACTCCAAAATGGGCGGGTATAACACATAAGAAAAAATGATTTTTAAAAAAACTCGAGGAGTTCCGCCCGCGGTCCTTCTGGCTCCGCCCACTCGCTCAGACCCTCCCCTTCGGCTTGCATTCAACAGGGAATTCCTTCACTAGTTGAATTTCTGCCTGCGAGTTCACTAGCCCGCTCCAGGGTCGAGATTTTGGGGGGGGGGTTCAGGAGGTACCTAAAAAAAATCATTTTATTATTCATAAGTTTAACACATACAACGTTTATTTTATAAGCTGATCCTGCCAAAGACGTGAGCAGGATTCGAACTCAGAGCCACGTAAAGCAGCAGGAGCCCGCTTGGGAGACGATATCATCAAATGTCGATTAATAAAAGAATAATAAAATTGCTGGAGCCTAGCCTTCCACACGGGGTTGTAGCCAGTTCAATGCACCGTGCGAACCCCCCAAACACGTGTGAATCAGTCACAAAGCGAGGAGGCTCGTGTGAATCCGACCTCGCCTTTCGGGTTCATGAAAATGCTAAAAAAAAAAAAAGGGACGAAAAAGAAGTTCCGTGCAACACTTTTCGTTGGCCACGAGATGGCAGCATTGCTCCATGGTTGGGAAAGGAAGGCAGAAAACACGCCTTCCCCTTTCAAAAGCAACACACTGGCTAATGGGAACTGTAGTCCAAAGCTTCTGGTTATATGTAGAGTATTGGAAATGCTTTGGACTACAGTTCCCATTAGCCAGCCTTGGGGGGAGGGCTGATGGGGATTGCCCCTCCTGCAACAGACTGGCTAATGGGAACTGGAGTCCAAAGCATCTCCTATACCAGGGGTAGTCAACCTTGGCTCTTTTATGACTCGTGGACTTCAACTCCCAGAATTCCTGAGCCAGCTTAGCTGGCTCAGGAATTCTGGGAGTTGAAGTCCACGAATCATAAAAGAGCCAAGGTTGACTACCCCTGTGGACCTATACTCTACATATAATCATAATTTTATTTTTTTATTATTTTTTTGTATTAAATTTTCAGATATTTTTTTTAAAACTGCGCCTCCAACCGTACTCCGGCCTCTCACGCACCAGGGGAGATCCGCTGGCTGCCTCAGGGATGGGATTTGTAGTTACACACTCACACACACACTGACACACAACGTCGCAACCGCCAATCTTCCCTCACCTGCGCAGCTTCGGCCCACCTGGCCGTGATGAGGCGCGCCGCGCGTCGCTTCCCGCCGTTTCCATGGCAACCGCTCCGGGAGCCGCGGCCGGGCCCAGACTGCGAGGTTGAGGTTGGGGGAGAGAGAGAGAGAAACAGCGGCGCGCGCCCACGGTGCACGCGTGCGCAGGAGCGCGAGCGCGTTCCCTTTCCCGCCCAGCGTCACCCAAGGACCTCCTGGCGAGTCCCTTCTCCGCGCCAGCCTCGGCCGCCATTGGCTGCTGCGAAAACCCGTCGCTCGGATTGGCTGAGAGGCTTCTCTCCTCTCCGAGAGGCGGGGGCATTTAAAAAGTCCGCGGGCTTCTCAGACTGAGTGCA